CCCGCCTGCGGCCAGCCGCCCATCTCTTCACCTCCCAGCCACCCCGACGCCCGGCCCCTCTGCCTCTGACGGCCCGGGCTCCGCCCACCCCCCCCCCACCCCCAGACCTGCAGGGACCGTCCAGGATGTGCAGATGCAGGCTCTGCGCTGTGAGGGGTGGTCCCAGCTCCTCCATTCTCCCCCAGCAACCCAGGACCCTCCACCGATGCCCGGACCCGTGGATCCCGGCTCACCTGCCCCTCCTGTCTTAGAGATGCAGCCTCTGTGCAGACCCTCCCTTCCCCAGGCTTCCATCAGCCCCCTGCCCTCTGCTCTCCGGGTTCCCAGGGGGCCTGCTACAGGCTGGGCGGGGAGCTTCCCCCCAGCGCCCAGCACAGAGCGGGAGGCCCTGCACGTCTCTTCAGTATCTGAACACATGTGTGGAGACGTTTGACCCCTCGTATTTTTGAAGTTGGTAAAAAGGCTCCCTTAGGAGTTGTTTATGTTCAGTTTTTAAAGAGGTTAACTCCTGGACGTTTCTGATGGTCCTCCCGAACCCGTCTGTGAAAAATTAGAACTGGGGGGGGGGCGGATATGGAAAAATGGGCGGGTCTGGTGCTCAGAGTCTTAGGGACGGCCTTATTCCTACGTGATGTCTTAGGTCACCTGGGCACGTCTCGCAGGTGTGGATCACACCTGACCACCCCGCCTTCGGCCAAACGAGAAGATACCACTTAGGAAATGCAGGGCAGTATGATTATCTGATTAATTCTCCCTGGCTATTAAGCTAAAAGATTGCTACCTGACCAGACAAGCAGAGTGAGGGCCAAGTCACCAGTCTCACCTCCGAGCACAGACCCAAACGTGCTCAGTAAAACGGTCTCAGGATGACTCCATCAGTGACTGCGTGTTTATCCAGAAAGACAAAGTCGGGTTTATCGTTAGAGAACAAAGGCCGACTAACCCGCGGACGTCTGCTGAGCAACACACCCGTCACCCTGCCGGGCAGGTCTGCGGTTAATGGAGGAGACCTCTCTGAGGGCATCGGGGGGCACAGAGGGGCCCGGGAGACCTGGTCACTCACGGTGACGACGTTTCTCAGGAGGCTCAGTGCTGTCCCTGGTGGGAGCGCAATGACATACGCCCCCTGGAGAGAGAAAACCGGGAAGCCAGTTTCCTTCCAGACGTCAAGTCACTTTTCTCTTCCCTCCAGGCCTGTTTCCTGAGCTCTCCTCCCTGCCCTCCGTGATGCTCGAGTCCTTGAAAGAAAGTCTGAAGCAAATGAGGAGAGGTGTTGAGGTTTTATAAAACTGGTGGTGTTTACACAGCTTTTCTATTGTGCTGTATTTCATATTAAAAATGCTCATAAAAAGAAAAGAAAGGAAATTAATAAATTTCAGTCTTGTGTGGGGTGGGGGTGGGATAGCTTACCCCTGTTCCCTGGTCCTGTTCACAAACTGTTTCTTTGTGATTTTTCTTGCATAAATGTCAAATAAGAACCTTTTAATGCATCAAGCCTGACCCCCAACTAGAAAAAAAATAAGTTCACTTACAAAGTTAGGGTGGCACTTCCGAGATTTGGGGGAAGAAGTGGAAGAGAACAGTCAGCTGGTGTTTGTCCCGGCCTTGTTGGGGCTTCGAAGAGGAGAATTAGATCATTTTTGAAGTGACTGGAAGTGAGAGTTTGTCCCCACGCCCTGCAGCCAGGGTCCAGGCCTTCCTGGGGGCCTCCGCCAGCCCAGCCCGGGCTGGGGGCTCAGGTGGGAGCCGGGGCTTGGTCCTGAGGGGGGGAGATGGTGACTCCAGTCATGGAGCCAGGGCCCTGCTCTGGCCCCAGCAGCACCCTCCCCTCCGCCGGGGTGCACCCTGCCCTGCAGGTACCGGGCCGCGTTTCAGTCGAGGACACCAGGGCTCGAGGAATCAGCTTAGGGGTTAGAACCTAGGGCTCCTGCCAGAGCCGAGCCTCTCCCCACCTTGCCTTGCAGAGGGATGGCCAGAGTGGACCTGCTGCTTGGGCAGTGACCACAGGACTGCCCTGTTCCCAGGGGCGGGTCCTCTTACGACTGTTTCACCAGAGGCTGCGAGCTGCAGAGCACAGGCCTCCTCAGGAACTGGGTTACTTCTGGGCGCCGGGTCCCCAGGCCTTGGCCACTCAGGGTGACCCTGGGACAAGGTCGGGTGCGTAACGAGGGCCTGACCTGCAGGGAGTCTGGGCAGAGACGCTGGGATGAGACCGTGCCAGGTGGCGATGGCTCTGAAGGCGAGGAACTGGTCCTTGGCGGCCCTTGTCTGTTGAGTCTGGGACCCACCTGGGCCCCCGTCGCCGGCGCCCGGGTCTGGTGCGGGTTGGCTGATGAAGGAGTGAGCCCAGAGCAGGCTGCCTGGGGAGCACTAAGATTTACGCCCAGTTCTGGGCGAGCAGAGCCCGGGGACGCTCCCCTGCCCCGGGGAGGACTACAGGAGGCTTGACCTGGGAGGTGCCGTCACCTTGTCACCTCAGCTCACAGCCGGTGCCTGCCACCCGCCCGTGCTTTTCAGATGCAAACCTGTCAAAAAGGACGGCTCACTTCGGGTTATGTTGCGACACCCACAATTTAAGACTTTCCTTCTGCACTCACTTTCTCACTTCAACTTGGTGTTGGTTTGGAAGCGTTAAGGTTGACTCCGCTTCTGCTTCCAGTCAGAACACTTGCAGCTCTGTTGGCAGTCCGCTGGTGCGGCCGAGAAACCCACCTCTTAGCGAGCTGTGGACGCACAGGCCTGCTGTGCCAGCCGGCGCGGGCAGGCCGGGGCCTTTCGTTGGCCGCAGTCGGTAAATGCGTTCTCCAGAGGGTGCTTGCCTCACCGTGGAGACGCGCTCCCTGTCCTGGGCATCTGCCTGGACCACTTCAGGGCGCAGGCTGCTCTGTGGTTCCCGCTCACGGCTCTCAGTGGCTGCATGGCAGGGAGAAGAAAAAGGCGGTTTGCTTCTCTGCATACGAATGTTGGGGCTCTTTGGAGAACTTTTCTTGCTTTTTCTCTTTGTTGACTTTCAAAAAAGATGTCAGCAAAGGTCACTGGGCTGCAGCGAGGTCCCCTGAGAGAGAGGTCCTCCCCGCGAGGAGGGAAGGGTGCAGGAGTGGGTGCCCTGGTCCCACCCCTCAGCCTTTGGCCCTGAGGGCTGGACCCCTCAATGACCTCCGAGTCCTGCCCTTTGAGTCTGTGGGGCAGGAGAGGGGGACGAGGCATCCCAGACGTACGGATGCCTTCTGCACATGGGCCCCGATGGTTGCAGTGGCTCTTTGGAAGGCAGCAATGGGGCTGGGGGCCAGGCTGCTGCAGTGACCGGCACTTCTCTGCTGTGTTCTCTCCCGCAGTGGATGTGGCCTCGGCTCTGCCTTTGCCGGTGGCCCCCCGGCGGTGCCCATGGACCTGCGCCTGGACCACCAGTTCCCGCTGCCCGTGGCGGAGCCTGCGCTCCGGGAGCAGCAGCTGCAGCAGGAGCTCCTGGCCCTGAAGCAGAAGCAGCAGCTCCAGAGGCAGATCCTCATCGCCGAGTTCCAGAGGCAGCACGAGCAGCTGTCCCGGCAGCACGAGGCCCAGCTCCACGAGCACATCAAAGTAAGTGGCCGCCGGCTGCGCTGTCCCGTGGCTGAGGATCGGCCCAGAGGACCCAGCCCGGAGCACTGAGATTCAGTCCCAGGACTTTGCTTGCTGTGCCGTTAACACCAGTCACTAGACACCTGCGTGTCCAGCACGGGCGCTGGCTGAGTGAATTGTGGTCCATGTGGCCTTTAGTGGGAAACAGCATTTAAAAGTCACGGTGTAGAAACGCACTGAAAGTAGCATTTCATCCACAAATATAAGATTTGTCCATAAATGGAAACATTACCAGCAAGAAGAAACACCAGAATATTAACGGTGATCATCTCTGGGTGGTGTGTTTACACATCATCTTCACTGTCTTCTTAGGACTTGTCTGTCTTCTCTCCATTTTTCCTACTGACCTTTCATAGTCAGAGAAAGACAGTAATATTTTCTTTTAATTTAAATGGAATAAGAAAAAACTAACGTAGATCTTTTGGGGGACACTCACTCTCTGCATGTATATAATCTGATCCCAGATTTTAAAAGAAACACATACTGGGGATGCATAGCAAAGTCATGTTATGCAGTTGAGGGACCACTTGTGATGTCTGTGATCACAGCATGCTCTCACTGTATTTAGGACCGTGCAGAGCAATGATGTCCAATGGAAATAAGCAGGTATATATTACAGTTACATAGGTGATTTTACATTTTCTGTAGCCACCTTAAGACACCAGAAGAAACTGGCTGTGTAAGTTACGTTATCGCTAGGTAGCAAATTACCTGAAAACCTAGCTACTGAAAAAAACGCGCATGTGCTGTCTGGTTGCATCCCGGGGTCGGGTCCGGGAGCTGCCTTCCTGGTGGTTATGTCTCAGGATCTCTCAGGAGGTGCAGTCAAGCTGCCGGTGAGGGCTGCGGTCTCATCTGAAGGGTGCTGGGGCTGCAGGGTCACTCCCAAGCTCACCTGCGTGGGCATAGGGAGGAGGCCATGGGTCCTTACCACCTGAGCCTCCAACAGCAGCTTCCCCAAAGTGAACATCCCAGATGCCAAGATCCAAGGGGCCAAGAAGGAGGCCTCCGTGTCTTCTTGCCTAATCTGAGAAGTGACACCCCCTCCTGCCTTATTCTACTGTTTCATAGATCAGCCCTCCCAGAGGGGCCCAGGCAAGAGGTGACCAGGGGGCAGGGATCTTTGGGGGCTGCTGGGAGCCTGGCTGCCAAAGTTAAATTAATGTGAAGACATTTTACTTAAACTCCTACTTCTAAAATTGTTTTCACTCAAAATGCATAGAAACACTTGTGTTTGTCGTCAACCTTGGTGCACCATTGCAGATGAGACATGGAGAGCACATCTCCGCCTGGCCCCACAGCGTTTCAGGTGCCCTGTGACCACATGTGGTACGAGGCCATTTAGGGGTTGGGCAGCAGGGATGTGGAGAATTGAAAGCCATGCCCTCTGTTCCCCAGTGCTTCTGCGATGCTGTTTCCATGGAGACCATCATGGCCCATGGGTGGACATCACTCAGCCAGGCCTTGGCTTCTTCAGGTGTCAGCCACACCCAGACTGCCTGTGCCCCCTGGTGCCAGGGGGGAGCTGCCCCGAGGCCCTGGGTCTTGGCCGGTTTGATTGTTCCTCTGGGTTTTGTTGGTGTCCAGTTGTTGTTGCCTTTGCTGCTTCCCCTCGACTCCATTGGGGTTCTGAGGTCGATGTTGGACAAACCAAGGAGAGAACACTTTCCAGAGCGGCTGGAAGTCCAGCCCCCATCGTTTTGCCTTAAGAATCCTGAGCAGGCGAGTGCTCCTGCCTATCAGAGGTCACCGGTCTCCATGGAGACTGGTCCCCAGCAGCCACGTGGTCCTCTACTTTTCAAATAAGCACTGTCGGGTTTGGGGTGGAGCGGTTGAGGGCCCTTCGTGGCTGTTGGGACTAGAGGGAGGCCCTGCGGGGACGCTGGTGTGCCCTGGACCTCGCCCGCCGGTGGGGAGGCCTGCACCTTGCTAATGGTTGCTGCTCCGTGCGGTGCAGGGGGGGATGCACGGGGGACCACGGTCCAGGCGCCAGGCCAGCCCCACCAGAGGCGTGTTTGGCAGCACCCACTTTTCAGGACGGTGGTGGGGAAGCCCCAGGCGGCCCGGGCCATGGTCCTGGCAGCGGGAGTCAACCCAGGTATCTGCCTTTCAGCACCGGCGAGAGCCCCCGCAGGCTGCCGCCCTTCCCCGCAGGCTGCCGCCTCCCCCGCAGGCTCCGCCCGCGCAGGCTGCGGTCTCATTTTGTCCTGGAGGTTGCAGCCTCTCATTTCTGTGCCTCTCAAACAACGATTTAAAAAACGAGCCCTGGGCTCCCTCACGTCCGGTGACCTTGCCGGCCCACGTGGGGCAGAGCTACTTCTCAGCATGTTTTTGAAGATCTTCCGTCACAGGCCTGTGTCTTTATGTCCTCTCAGAAGCCGGAGTGATGGCTGCGGGCTGGCTCTTCCCTTCCCGGTCCTCTCGGATGGGTCCCCTTTTCCTGGCCCCATGGCGACCGGCGGGGCCCGTCTCTGCTCTTCTCTTCCGAGGAGAGCACCGTGCGTCCCCGAGGTCGCCATCCACCTGCCCCGACCTGAGGGCGCGCTTGCCACCCGCTCTGCGTGCGGCCCCCGCCTCTGCGCGCCGCAGCCCAGCGCGGCGCCTGGGTGACGAAGGGGCCGGGCCGCGTGCTGGTTTGCACTTTTCCCCGTTTCCACTCGCCGCGCACTTGTCCTCGGACAGCATGTGACGGCGGGATCGCGGCAAACTTGCTGGGGTGGATTTTTGTGCTCCAGGGATTAAGGAAGATGCTCATTGTTGACATTCTCGTGTATGTGTGAGTTGAACCTGCAGGTTTTGCAAGGGAAAAAAGGAGAAATAAACAGACCCCAGGTACGTGAGGGGTCAGCAGAGGCAGCGCCAGGAAGCAGCACACATCCAAACGCTCTGGTGCTGCCGCCGCCGCTGGGTGAGACCCGGCTTCCCGCGGGCCGGCCTCTGCCGGCTGCGCCCGGCCTCCGCGGCCTTTCCCTCCTCAGCTGGTGCTTCACGAGTTGTGCCGCCTCTTCGGAGATGGAGGAGAGCGCCCCCAACCCGAGTCCTCCCGACAGCGCCTGGTGCCTCGCAGCCTGGCGGGTGGGGCTCCTCACGTCGGGCGTGCCCCCCCCACTCGCGGGCCGGACGCCCCAGGAGGTGACGGGAGCCCCGGAACCTGGCTCTGGGCTGGTTCTCAGCAGCGAAGGGAGCGCCTCCAGGTTCCGTGTTCTCCGCAGTTTAATCATTTGTTTTTCCATTTGCGATGGAGATCTGCAGTCTGAAGCCGTTTAAACTGTGTGATCCGGCGTTCCCTCCGCCCGCGCCGCTGTGACGATTTAGGCCCTCCTCGTAGGCCGTGGTGCTGTTAGTGACAGTTGGCAGTGGTGGTTGTCAGACAGATTTCTTGAGCGCACTATCTAATTAGTGTCATTAAATCATCAGTGAATTTGAATAGGATTTTATAATTAAAAAGGGAATCGTTTTTGAAATGGAACTTCAGTTGTTAACCTTGGGTGCAGAAGGTCTCTCGGGAGGTTTCCACACTCAGTGTCACGCTTGTACAAGACAGTTTCCTTGTTGGTCGTGACTCAGGGGCCCCGTCCCCGCTCCGTCCCGCACTGTGGGTTCTCTTCTCCCCGGAGCGGGGTCCAGGGAGCCTGGTCACCGAGGCCGAGGGCTGAGAGCGTCGTGCCACTGGGTGTCGGCAGGTGCTTGTGTCCAGAAAATTGTTGGCCGCTTCATCACCTGGGAGAGCGTAGCTGCTCATCTGGCAAATGTAACATTACCGAGATTTGCTGCTTTGGGCGTTTGTTGTGCTATATTTAACTTTTAAAAACTTTTATCAGAGAAATTTGTGTTTCTAATGTATCTAGTCGAAAGGTAGTGTGTCAACACAGAGAACCTGCCCTCGCCGCCCCCCACCCAGCTTCCCAGGCCCCAGGTCTGTGCTGGTACGCGCGCCCTGTGTCTCCACGGCCAGCTTGGTGCCTGAGTCCTGGGTCCCTTGTGGTGGGTTCCCACTTGCGGGAAAGACTTGGCTTTCTCACCTCCCCCCACCCTGTGCACCCGCCGCATCTTCGTGGTGCCCCCACACTGAGCCGCCTCCTAGTTAAAGAGCCCTTCAGGGGCTCCACCCTCATGGGGGGGGGCCTGTTGCTTATGCCACACAGTGACCGCGTGGCCTTCCTGATACAGCTGTCGGCTTTCCCTGAGTCTGTCGTCTCCTCCCTCACCATTGGCTTAGTTCCCTGTGCCTGATGCAAACCCGGCCCCACAGTCTGAGAAACCTGTCAGCCCTTCTTGCTGTGGGGAGCGCCCCCGTGCAAGCCAGGACTCCTCGGCCACCTTGTTCTGGGTTCCAGCCTGCCATCCCTTCCCTTCCACCCACGGCAGTGATGTTCTTGTAAACATGTGGCTTTTGCTGCTTTGCAAGCGCTTGTAATATTGTATTGGGAATGAATTAGACATTCCCTTCACTGATGGGAAGTGCTGTGAACACTGAGCAGACATGGGATGTCGACCCTGGTGTCTGGGAGCCACCTCCAGGGCTTCCAGGTGGCAGCCGCAGGCTTCTCTGTTCGGGGCGATTCCTTCGCCCTTTGCTCTGCGTCGTCCCGAGTGCTGAGGACACACCTGCTCTCCAGCCCTGCCTGCAGGCTTTGTTCTTGTGAATTTATGTCTCCTAAAAAGTAGTGTCCCTCTCAGTGGGTTTTGGAGAGGAGCAGGGGTGAAAGCGTGTTCACTCGGCCCTGCTCACCCCGACGTCTGGCCTCCTCTTCAGCCGCTGGCTGACAGCATCCTCAGATCTCCCCCAGGGCCCCCTGCACCCCCGGAGGACACCTGTCTAGGTGAATGGCCCAAGCATCACGGGACGAGGGGGACGAGGCCTGGGGCTGAGGGTGCCCGGCGCCTGCCCAGCGGGGAGGGAGCAGCAGCCTTTACCTCCAGACCGTCTTTTTCACGGGGACCGCTTTCCTCCTGATCTC